GAGAGAGAGGGCAAGAGAGAGAGAAAAGGACAGAGAGAGAGAGAGAGAGAGAGAGGGGGCAAGAGAAAGAGAAAGAGAGAGAGAATGACAGAGGGAGAGAGAGAGAAGGGCAGAGGGAAAGAGAGAGAGGGCAAGAGAGAGAGGGGGCAACAGAAAGAGAGAGAGGGGGCAAAAGGGAGAGAGAGAGAAAGGGCAAGAGAGAGAGAGAGAAGGACAGAGGGAGAGAGAGAGAAAGGGCAAGTGGGAAAGAGAGAAAGGGCAAGAGGGAGAGAGAAAGGGGGCAAGAGGGAGAGAGAGGGAGGGCAAGAGAGAGAGAGGGCAAAAAGTAGAGCGAGAGAAAGGGCGAGAGAGAGAGGGCAACAGAGAGAGTGAATGACAGAGGGAGAGAGAGAAGCACAGAGGGAGAGAGAGAGGTTGGCAAGAGAGAGAGAGAGAGCATTGTAAGTATTGGGGATGGTGACTTAATGGCCGCCGTACCGTCTCCGTCCATGTCTTCGTCGCAGGCGTCTCCCCTCCCGTCTCCGTCCGTGTCCCTCTGGTCCGGGTTCTTCACCGTCAGGCAGTTATCACACGCGTCTCCATGGCTGTCCTGGTCCCCGTTCCTCTGGTCCACGTTGGGCTTCAACCGGCAGTTATCCTGTGGAAGAGAGAGAGAGAGAGAGGGGGTGTTAGAATTAGGCTATAATTACTCATGTTAGCATAGTATGCTATAACATGATCCATGTAAATGACTGATTGTCGTATTCCTTATAGAACTATCTCCAAGCCCAATTTATAGAAAGTATAAGCTGAATTTATTCAGGACAAGAGCTCGAGCTAGTGGGAACTGCAGGATTAAAAGATGTCGGACATTTATAGGTCAGTGAAAGCATTACATCTCTGGAACTCTTTGCCTCTGGAGCTTAAGTCACAGACTGATGTTCGACTTTTCTCCACAAAATTGCCAATATTAACTCATTGGCTGGCAGTCAATGAGTTAATATACTACGTTGGAGTAAAGACACA